ATAACATGTCTACTAACCCTAAAAAGGTTTTACCTACATCGGACGAACAGTTTACAAGATCATTCACGGAAAAAAAAGTTCCAGGAAGAAGAAGAAGAAAAATAATAATAACTAGACCTTATTTTTGTCGTTCAACAAAAACGGAGGGCTTTTCGATCCCTTTTAAATCAAGAATCTTAAAAGAAAAATGAATATTACACAGTAACAAAACTCATATGGTACAATATTGCAAAAGCCCTTTTGAGATCAATACTGAATTGGAAACATAACGAGTCTCTTTGCCCATCAGTGGCTTCTCAGAGACATAACTCTTTATAAGTATTTAAACCATAAGAAAAAAGTACTGCTTTTTAATTCACAATTAAATAAAATACTGTAAAATGAAAATACACATAACGTTTATTTTTAATTGCTTCATTGTAGTCAATAAAAACATTATGAGGGAAGAAAATATAAAAATTTTCTATAAATTAAATTTTGTTATAACTCGTATAGCAAAACAATCTCTGACAAATACCTGTGAAAACTATAGTCAATTTTATTCATTTTTTCTGTAACAGAAAGCTATATCACTTCAACTTTGAGTGCTTCATGGTAACTGTAGTATGTTGGAATCATGGTAACTCGCACATCTACTTCTCTGCTATAAACATGATCTATCACTGTTCCACTTTCTGTTGTTATTTCTGTTACACACTGTTTAAACCCATTAATCTCTAATAATTGCTTAACAGAAGAGACAGCATTTCTGATATTTTGATTAAAATCACCCAAAATGACACAAGGTAAGCAAATTTTGTTCACAGCATTCACCAATCTACGCATCGTATTTAAAAAACTTTCAACCGTGTATGATGATGGTCTGTATAATGTAACAACCAATATACCGTTTGTTTTAAATGCTATATACTCAAGATTATCAACTGGAAGAAAGATCCTTTCGTACCGTAAATCTGTAGACGTTTTTCTATAAACAGATACTCCACCTTTAGCTTGACTTTGTATCATATTGCCAGGTGCATATGAATTTTTCCTGAGTTGGTGCTCTGAAGAAAAACAATCAATATCTATATTGGGTCTCAGTTCATTTTCTAACCATGTTTCAACTAAACAAATGATATCAATATCTTGATGCATAACTGTTATTTTAAGATCTTCCAAATGGTTTTGCAAACCTTCTATATTGTGATACAAGATACCGAGTTTCTTTTGAACGATCTCGTCAGTAACCGAAAGAAACTGCTCCATTGAAGTGAGGGACTCTTGAATAGTCGGATTTGAGTATATTGCATTCTCGTTGAAATCCTGGATCGTTAAACCTTCAAGAGATGTGACACGGCTTAATGCTACATAGGCTTGTCCAGGCTGGAATATTTTTCTCAATGATACTACAGCTTTGCTGACAGTCAACCCTTGCACTTTGTGAACAGAACAAGCCCAAGCAAGCTTTAACGGAAATTGTTTTCTTATTATGTTTCCGTTATTCACCATTTCTTCTACTCTTTCTATTATAACTTTAATCTTGTTGCCTATTTTCTTACCGCGTTTTTTCCCAATATCTTTATTGTCAAAACAAACCTCCACTAATTTTACTTCTGATTTTCCATTGCAACTTTCTTCTACTATCCTGGTCACAGTTCCAAATGCCCCATTTACTAAACCATCTGCAATATCGACATTATATACAAGCATGATACGTGCACCAACACATATTTGAAGTTCACTTGCCAGTCTAAACTGTTTTTTTTCAGAGTAAAGCGAATCTTGTTTACTTTTACCTTTTTGTCGATTGTCTTTGAAACAGTCTTCGGCTTTGATAACTGTTGGTTCTATTTCTTTGCTTAAGCATAGTGCAGATAAAGCATGTGCATTGAAGTTATTGACTTGAGCATTTGTAGCAAATATATGCAAAGCATCAACATTGTCATCCTTTTCTCTGTTTGAAAGCAGAGCTTTGTCTTCTTCACTTAGTTTCTCTTTCTTTTCTTTAATTCTACACCTGTTCAAAAGCTCAGCAAATTGTTTATCTTCCTTCTGTCTCATAATCTCATTTAGAGTGACAAGTTTGAAACAATCATTCCAAAGATCAAAATGGCAATCCCTCGTAAAAAGAGGTTTTCCTTTCACGGGTGGTAACTGATAGAAATCGCCAAAAGCCAACACGCTGACATTTCCAAATGGTGTAAAATCACCAGTCTGTTTGATTTGCCTTAGGCGGCCATGAATGTAAGTCAACATCTTTTTATCAACCATGGAGATTTCATCAATAATGAGTAATTTTAACTGTCCAAGTTTTGTTCTCAAGGTATTTAATTTATCATCACCAAGCGGTTGATATTCAAAGGGCAAAGCGCTATTTCCTGGGATAGCAAAGGCACTGTGAATGGTTGCTCCTCCTATATTGAATGCTGCCACACCTGTCGGTGCTGTTAATAATACCGAGACATCATCAGGATTTGTCAAATGTGGAGCAAAAAGTCTTGACAATTCGTAGTAAATACTTTTTATCAGATGACTCTTGCCTGTTCCAGCTCCTCCAGTAATGAAAACCTGTATCTGGGGTGTTTTTTGTCCGCTTATGGTTTTTAAACACCAATGTCTCATTTCCTGAAACAACTTTCGTTGAATTTCATTTAAAGATCTCATTATCCTTGTACCTTCTTCTTTTGAAATCAAACTTTGTGAAATTTCAATTGAATTTGAAGAGTTCTGTAATAAATCTGGTATTGGTACTTCCAATTCACTCCTGTTATTTTCGTTTTCCTCCTTTTCATCTATACATTCTAATCTATTTACTTCAGTTTCAGGACAAACCTGGGACCACGCATTTTCCTGGATTCCACAATTTTCTAGCATTTCTTGAGCCTTTTCCAACACGTCCACGTCTTTTTCAAAGCAACAGCGATTTCTTTCTACCACTTCCTTAACATCAGTAGAATTATAAAATTCCTCATACCCGTTTCTTGATTTCAATTCATCGGTTGATCTATGTGGAAAATACAACTGCAAAATACTGAAATAATATTTTTCAGGAAAAGCAGAAACTGAGAAACGAGGAAATCTAATAACAGCAGAGTCAGTCAAAGTTCTCTTCTGAATGTAGCCTAGGTCATTCTGTAGGGTATATATTGGGCTTCTCGGATTTTTCACATTTGACGCTTGTGATGAAGATAATACTCGGTATTCAGAACAGAATGTTGCTAAACACATGTTATGAAATCCTTCTGACATGGGTCTTGCTCTATATTTTTCAGTTAAACTTGACATCCAAATGTCCTCATCTGCTTCTGATTTCTTATCCAAGACTTTCAATGGTAGACTCATACGAATTGGATTCTCTCCTATAGGTATGAACTGAACTTTTCGTGAACAGCCTTTTAGTTGTAAATTACAAACTCTGAAAGCGGCTTCTTGAGCACTGACTTCTCTGTGATGCAAATATGCCGTTCCCAGTTTCTTCATTGCAGACTTTGCGTCAAGATTTCCTTCTCTAGCTTCCCGCTGTGTGCAATCTAAGATCTGACTCATTTCTCTTTCTGCTTTAGAAATATATGAGACTATGTAAACAACACATGCGTAAGCATCTGTAATATACTGAATGTCCATGTTTGCATTCCAGCAGGAAAGTAAATGACGGTTGTACTGATTGATCCATGCTTCATTAGGATTTCTTTTCAATACAACAGATTTCGTGTTTGTCAAAATGTTGTTAGCCTCTTCATATTCTTTCTGAGAAATATTTAATAGTTTGAATAGTTCTTTCGTAGACATTTCTTTTGAATCATTTCCTCTCATGAAATTCCAAATTTTTGATAACAACTCCTTTGAAGTATCCTTTCGTTTTGCTTCTTTCACATTGTGAATCATAACTTCATTGTATTCTTTTTCAGTCATACAAATATCCACAGTTTTGATATTTTCTTGTTGTGGATTACATATAAAAGTATTTTCTGAAGGTGGTCTTGGAAAATTGAATCTACACTCTTTGGAACCTTTTTTACAAGATTTTGAATGTGAATTGCTGTGTTTTTGAACGCTGTTAACAATCTCAAATAATGTTTCGTCTTCAGAAGGAATCTCGCAGGTAACATAAGCGTCTATAAATTCTGCAACATCGGAATCGGTATCCTTGTGTAAGTGTGGCGCATTTTCAATCCAAAACAGACAGTGAGTATGAGGTGACCCTCTTTGTTGAAATTCTACTCGGTAAAAATAATCTTTTACTTTTCCTATTGGATTAGAGTTTGATAATATCACTTTCTTTAAGAAGGTCTGAAAACGGTAATCAAACATCCGGGATACAGTGATTGGATTCTTTTTGAGAATTGCCCATTTTTCGGACAAAGTCAGGTCATCAACATTTCTTTCGTCATTTTGTTGTTTAAGAATAGCTTCAAAAGTTTCGGACCATCTCATTTCAGCAGCAGAAAAGGAACAAAACCATGTTGGAAGACCGAGTTGCCTTATCATTGCAAAAAGATCCTTTTGAGCAGATTGCCAGTAAGGTGGAGTCCCTCGTATTGGTTTCAGAAATTTGTATCCTTCATCTGACTTAATAATTTGTTGCAATGACTCTCTATTTTTTATTGATCGTAATGTTATTTTTTCTCCATTAAACCCTTTCTCGGGAGTTTTTCGCAAAGCTATTGAAACATTTGATATGACCTGTTGAAGTTCAGTCAAGTACTGAGAAAAGAAAATGAAATCAGTGTCATTAGCAAATCTAGAGTCAACGTTCATTAATTTGTTCAACAAAAATCTGGATAATGTCAAATAAACATCTCTTTCTTCTCCGAATACATTTTTTCCAGTAGGGAAATAGTATGGAAAACACTTTGCTTCTATACCTTTCTCAGACAAAATACTTATTGGGTTATTTCTTTCGCAAGGTGCCATACAAAATATCTGATCAAAATACTGGTCTAGGATTTCTTGTCCTATATCAACCGGCTGGAGACAAGTATCAAGCGGCATTTGGTGGTTCAACTCATCATCAATTGTTTCACGTATTTCACTTTCCTGTAACTTTTGATCAATACCATCTTTCATTTCAACATTTGAATGTTCATTTGTATTTTCACTCGCTTCATCCATTGTTTCACTTTTTCCTCTTTCAAGTGCGTGTTGCTCATGGGTATTTTTTGTCTCCGTGTTTGAAAATTCAATAGAATTTTCCCAAGATTCATCAAACTTGAGATCTTTATAAAACTCATTCGATTTGCACAAATATTCAATGGCACTTCTAACTTTTTGAGTGTTTACAAATTTAAAATCGAAATGGCCTTTGTAAGAAAGTTTTCTTTTCAACTTGACTTGAATTAACTGATTTTCATTTTCAGGCCGAGGTAGAGATTCTATTGTTTCCGAAACATTACTAGGTACACAAACAACAGGACCTTGAACACCAAACTGTCCTCCTTTAGGTAAAGCCATCATTTTTGTGAATGGTATTATGCGCGCAATTAAATGTCTTTCTACAGAATTTAATTCCTGCAAAACATTTGGTACCTGTTCATTTTCCATTTTATTTGCAAAGCATTCTCCCGGCATAGAACCAGATAACAGTTTCCTGTGGCAAGTATAACATACCCAGAGCTTGCACCGACTAGAACAAACGTGTGAATCTTTCTCTAAGCATTCTTGTAAATACCTTCTGGATACATATGCTGATCCATAGCCGATTCCATCAGAGGTTGTGTTTTTGTTATATACTTCTGGCTCGCAGATTAGAACTTGTTTCCTAAATAATAATTTAAAGCACACTGAACAGACATGATCAGGATACGATTTCATTTCATCTTGAAAATGTTTGTTGACAATCGTCCAGTTTTCACGACTTTCCTCAAGTTTTCTCAGTTTTGCATAAACAGCATTTTTGACAAATTCACGGTGTGCTTTGTTCGTTTTGTATTTAGAAATCGAAGCCGATTTAACTTTTGCTTTGTGAATGTCATTTTTGCGGTATTTTTGCACAGAAGCTTCTTTTACTTTGGCTTTAAAACCTTCATTGGTATTGTACTTTCTTTTTGATGCCCTTTTAACGTTTTCCTTGTATTGAAGATCTACGTTATATTTCATTCTCGAGTACAATTTGACACTATTTCTGAATTGTTCATTCTTTTGGTATTTTAATTTTAATGAAGCCGTTTTCTGCATTCTGTAAGTTTCATTTTCCGAGTATTTCTTTTTCATGAAAATGCTCATCCTATTATTTCTTTTATCATCTACATTGACACATGTGTCCTTTTGCATTTTTGAAGTCTTCATTTTTTTCTTTCGATAACGATTAAAGGTTTCCCTACTCATCTTTCTCTTACGTTTTGGAGCATTTATAGTACTTTTTTCGGCAAATATGATTCGACTTTCCCCTTTAGTAGATGTGACCCCGGTATTCATTACTTCATCTTTTAAGTTTTCATTTCCTTCAACCATTTCCTCAACATTACAGTGAATAATTTTTACTCCTGTGACCTCAAATTGTTCATGGTCTCCTGCATTCATTGAATATGCTAACTGTTCGCAATGTAATCTCAGTTCATCAATGGTATTTAACCTTAAACAAAGACTACTCCCAAAAGCTGAAACTTGACCATTTCTATCTCTTGAATGAGGATCAAAAACATGAAAGCAACTTCTCTCTTTAATGATTACATATGTGTTACCCTTGAAAGTAATAAATGCACCATCTGACTCTGGTAAACTTGCCCTTAATGCTTCAGGAAAAGTGTGAGAGTGAAACTCCAAATCATTATCATAATTAGAGTTTAAGAGACCATAAAATGACTCCCCAAATTCAAAGTTGTACATTTTATTAAAACACTCCAATTCTCTAGGAATTTCTGAAATCAAAACATAATCATTGTGCATTGTAGAACTACTTGTTAAACATTCATACAATTCATTTCCTGTATCTAAAATAATATCCATATCATCAACAGTCCAGTCATTCACAGGCTTACATTTACTATACATAATTGATGATAAACTGTTCATAACACATTGTTTTCCAGCAGAATGACCAAATTTTGGATGACCTTGGTGAATATTTCCTTGCAAGATACGTCTCTCAAAATGAGGTAAACTGGTATTATGATCCATCATATCTTGGTGTTCCTTCTTGTCCACTTGTTCAGCAACATTAATGTGGATAATATCATCCATTTTAGTCTCTGACTGGTGTTCACTCTCTTCCTCCAACAAATTTATTTCTGAACAATTCTGTGTCTCAGATTTTTCATCAAGCTTTTCTTCTACATCCAAAACAACTTCATAATGAGCTCTGTAACAGTGTTTTAAATATATTGCTTCTTGTTCAACATCTACTTTTTGGTTCACTTGTTTTCCAGTATACTTAGTCCAATTTGCATTCCTATCATCAAAAATGTAAATGTCTGTCTGCAAAAGATGCGCTGCAGCAATAATTTCAACTTCTGTTGCCCAGGTTCCATTCTTCAACATACCTTTTTTCAAGAGATAATCACAAACCGAATTATATCCTGACCTTAAGAAGCTTTGAAACAAGACTTCATTCTCTAGTAGGTGATTTACAATTCTGTTCCTCATAGTGAAATGTTTGGACTCTTCTTCATATATGACATCAGATAGTGCTCTAAAGAAACAATTTCCATCACCTATTATACTTCTAGTTTGAGACGGAACTCCCAGTCTTTTTTGAAAAGAAAATGATTCTTCTCCCGAAGTCTCTGGCGCTTCATTGTGAATTCGCTTCATTACCCTTATTTTGGAATTGTGAGATAATGGATGGAAAACCAAGTCAGTCATTTCAACATTAAGCAATTGTACACACAATTCTGTTTCTTTCATGCTTTGTTGTTTGTTTTCATGCTTTTTCAAAGATTCATCAGTCTTGGTTTTTGGTTTTTCCTTCAAGATATCAATTAATCTGACTTCCCATTTTCCGTAATCAGGATCTGATAGTTGCTGAAGTCTCCTTTCTATCTGCAACTGAATATCAGGTGTAATTGCATGTTCTTTTTTCAAGATAGATGTAATCCCTTTCATTTCAGAAGTATAATTTTTCTTGTTAATTCTCTTGGATTTTGATACTCTTTTTCGTTTCTTTACTTTTCTTTTCTTATTGCTGTTTGCTTTTTGCTCAGTTTCACTCTTCAGCTTCCTTTCAGTTTCGAATTTTTTTTTCGTATTCGGTTCAGATGTAATATTCTGTTCAGTTTCTTGTTTCATTTCAGTTTCAGTGTTCAGTTCAATTTTAGCATTCAGTTCAGTTTCAGTATTCAGTATTGTTTTCAGTTCAGTTTCAGTGTTCAGTTCAGTTTCAGTATTCAGTATTGTTTTCAGTTCAGTTTCAGTGTTCAGTTCAGTTTCAGTTTTCAGTATTGTTTTCAGTTCAGTTTCAGTGTTCAGTTCAGTTTCAGTGTTTAGTTCAGTTTCAGTATTCAGTATAGTTTCAGTGCTCAGTTTTGTTTCAGTTTTCAGTTCAGTTTTCAGTATAGTTTCAGTATTCAGTTTTGTTTCAGTTTTCAGTTCAGTTTCAGTTTTCATGGTTTTGTCAAGGTTTTTTAAAGAGGCCTTGACGGGCCACATCGCTCACTTAAGAAACTTTGGCCATACTGTTCTTTACCAGATTTCCCCTTGTAATATACTCAGAGACTTTAAAAACACCTTTATACGAAAATGCCTTTTAAAACCCATTAGCAAATTTGACTATCTAATATTTTGCCAATGTATTGTGTTTTAATCACTTTAGCATGTATCCATATCATCAATAAAGGAAATCACTCATCTGTTACTCAGACCGTCTCACCTGTACTCACTTCACTTAAAGCCAATCGCTAAATGAATAAATCAAACAAGAGGCCCATGGGCCACATCGCTCACTTAAGAAACTTTGGCCATACTGTTCTTTACCAGATTTCCCCTTGTAATATACTCAGAGACTTTAAAAATACCTTTATACGAAAATGCCTTTTAAAACCCATTAGCAAATTTGACGATCTAATATTTTGCCAATGTATTGTGTTTTAATCACTTTAGCATGTATCCATATCATCAATAAAGGAAATCACTCATCTGTTACTCAGACCGTCTCACCTGTACTCACTTCACTTAAAGCCAGTCACGTTGTTTGCAAGTAATTTTTTCTTTCATCTCTAATCACATATACATGCAACTTACATCGTTTCAGTTAGAATATCAAGAGTTGACGTAATTCCAACTGTTGACTAAAAATGTCTATGCTGTCTGAGCAACAAAGGTATGCAATTCTTGGTCTTGTTGACACTGGGTTAAACCATGTGTCATAGCACGATGCTTCACATCGTCGGGAAACCCACAGTCGGTTTTCGCTTCTCTTACCTAAGATAAGGTAAGAGAAGCGAGACCGACCGTGGGTTTCTGACGCTGGATGCTTCAATGTTCACCAATCCACAATAACAAGATTGCTGAGGAAGTATTGGGCCACAGGAAGTGTCCAGGACTGTCCCTGAAGTGGCCAGCAATGTGTATAAATGAGATGTCAAGATGTCTCTATTAGGAAAGTCATCTGCACAACTGGTTCTTTACGTCTGTTTCAATGTTCAAAAAGTTACAGAGTGTCATGGGAGACATATCATCCCAGAACTGTGATACAAGGATTGAAAGAACATGGAATATTGTGTTGACATCCATTGAAAGGTAATGTCCTTACTCTACGTCATTGACAATTCTGCATCGGAAATGCTTGCCAATTGTTGGCCTGGCATGATGTAGTGTTCAGCGATAAATCAAAATTCATCTTATCAACAGATTTACCAGCGATGTCATAAACGTTTGGATCAAGGTCATGACAAACCCTTGGGTCATAGGCAATCTTCGCATGAAATGAGAACCTACCAAGTTTATCCATAAAAAAGATATGGGCCGGACATGAATTATGAAATATTACTTCCAGTGACCTTGAAGTTCCGTAAATGACCTTGGGTCAAGGTCTTGACACACCCTTAGGTCATGGGCAATCTTTGTGTGGAGTAGTAGATTCTAGTGTCCTTTGGTAAGAAAGATATGGACCAGACATGTTTGCACAGACGGACAGACAGCTAGACAGACAGACGGATGGATAGACGGACAAGGTGATTCCTATATACCCCCCCAAACTTTGTTTGTGGGGGATGTAACTACAGGTAGTTCATAAATAAATTCCCTGATGATTATTCACATTGTTTAAGTTACATACGGAAACAAGAGGCCCATGGGCCACATCGCTCACCTGAGAAGCTTTGACCATTCTGTTCTTTACCAGATTTTCCCCTTGTTATACATAATGCATACCCACCCTACCCCACTGATCATAAGTTAGACATTTTGAAATCTACACTACCCCATGATCCTTCCATGGGCACATATGTTTCAGCTTTTTTGGCCCAGTGGTTCCCAAGAAGAAGATTTTCAAAGATTTTTCCTATATATTTCTATATAAAACTTTGATTCCCCATTGTGGCCCCGCCCTTCCCCCGGGGGTCATTATTTGAACAATTTAGAATCTACATTATACCAGGATGCTTCCACATAAGTTTCAGCTTTTCTGGCCCAGTGGTTCTTGAGAAGAAGATTTTCAAAGATTTTTCCTATATATTTCTATATAAAACTTTGATTCCCCATTGTGGCCCCGCCCTTCCCCCGGGGGTCATGATTTGAACAATTTAGAATCTACACTACACCAGGATGCTTCCACATAAGATTCAGCTTTTCTGACCCAGTGGTTCTTGAGAAGAAGATTTTCAAAGATTTTTCCTATATATTTCTATATAAAACTTTGATTCCCTATAATGGCCCCGCCCTTCCCCCGGGGGTCATGATTCCTACAATTTAGAATTTACAATACCCCAGAATGCTTCTACATAAGTTTCACTTTTTCTGGCCCAGTGGTTCTTGAGAAGAAGATTTTCAAAGATTTTTCCTATATATTACTATATAAAACTTTGATTCCCCATTGTGGCCCCGCCCTTCCCCCGGGGGTCATGATTTGAACAATTTAGAATCTACACTACACCAGGATGCTTTCACATAAGTTTAAGCTTTTCTGGCCCAGTTATAACCGAGTTTACGCATATTCAACATCACATAGACACTTTCAAATGAAAACTGTTCCATCAATCAACCGTTTACATGATTCTTTCCTATTCTGTTTATTACTCAAACATAGAAACACCTTAATCTGAATATATAGAAGGAAAATAAAATTATGATCCGCATCAGTTGAAAAACTTCTTCGGACCACAGCCATTTTCCTGAGTCAGCAAGCTAATGCCAAACAAAGCTAATTTTATTTTAGGCCTCATTTTTACAGTCAACTCAAACAAATCTAATCCAATGTACAGATGTTGATTTCTATTTTCTATTGCTAATGATTTGGATAATTTAGTCCAGGGATGTTTTACCACGTTATTCATATTATTATTAATTTAAAAAAAAAAATACCAACTCTTGATTTTTTGGCATATAACAGGAAACAAACATAATTTTTTTTTAGACCTAAGAGCAAAACTTTGCCATTATAATCTTTTGGGAGTCTGGGGGTGTCATTTAGTGAATGCAGGTGGTTACATTCAGATTCTGTGTTCCCCCCTTTGGTTTTGAAATTCCTTGTTCCCGCATGGTTTGACCCTCGTGGTTTTGTCCCAAAGATAATTGATTAACAATTTTAATAGTTTAACTTTTCTTTGGTATAGTTCAAATTATTCAGATATTTAACTGACCATATCTGTTTAAAATTAAAGATAGTGCTAATTATGATGTTTATTTAACTTGTTCGGAGTAATGTACTCTGTTTTTAAGTTTACATTTGTAAATTATCCCACAAAGAGCTGAATAGATCTTACAAAAAACTGTTCATTCAATTATAAATCATTTATTTCAAATGAAATTAATTACACCTTTGTTCTTTACTTTTGATGACTTCAATGTTGACTTTAATACTCATACAGAAACAACCCAATATTGACACGTATCCCTCCCTGAAGCAATAGGTAACTGATATACATCTACCGAATATCCATGTGTATACCTTATAGTGTGTACCCCTCTATTTACCCATAAGGAGGTCGAAAACCACTTGGATTGAACACAGAATTGAAACGGAACCACTTGACACCTCATTTAGTGAGGTCAGTGTCCACAGTATATTAATGCCCTGTTCACATGGAGAATTTAATTTGCAGTAAATTATTGCGATGTAAACTAATGTGAATCAAATTAATGTGAATTAAATTGTGTACACACGACAGCTAAAGTGAAATATTTACATTTGAATTATTCTTTCTTAGATGAACCTACTGAAGAGAAAATGTGATCAATTCTGTATTAACTTTATTTGTGGGTCAGAGGTCATAGGATATTCTCAGTAAGGATCATTGTTCTTACATTATAAACACAGAATTCTTGAACTGGACTGCTGAACATCAGTGTAAATATTCAAATGTTGGAGCGACACGAACTTTCAAACCACACAAATTCTAGACCTCCTAGGTCATTGCTAGTCACAACATAGCTTTACGGCGGCCTCTTCATGTAATAAATGCAGTTTTATTCATAAATTGTCTCAAATGTAAAAATCAGTAATAACAACAATGTTGAAAAGGTCACTGGGAAATGAACTTTAAGTTGGTACGTGATCAAATCTACTGACAAGCTCTTCGAGCTTCACAGGATTTAATCACTTGACCAACTAAAAGTTCAATTCCCAGGGAACTTTAACATATTGTTGTTTATTTCTTAAGTAAACTAATGCAAATTAAAATTTTATTTCTACAAAAAGGCTATTCAGTAGGGATATTACATGTATGACGTCATTTGTAATTCACGTCATGTATGCAGAGCCATCCATTTGATATAGACAACTTTCACATTTACAAAAGTTATTCCCCTTTTCGGGGTCAATCAGGGGTCAACCGGCGTAAGACGCTCTTTTCCCTCTATAACCTTACCAACTTAATGGGTCAGTATCCTAGAAATAAAATCTTTTTGAATATGCTCATTATGTTTTTCATGTTGCCCCATACTCTGGCAATACAGGTACGTATTGAAATTGTCATATAAGGTTTGAAATTTAAAAATATTAACAGGTAACTTACAAAGGACAAAGTGCGAAAAATGAGCATTACGCCGACAACGGGAGATAACTCTTAGGAATGTGAAATTCATCTATAAGAATCATAGTGGTTACAAGTATACATTTAGTGATTAACACACTTTTCCTTGATTTTTGACCCAAATATAGCACAGATACCTAAATCTAACCACCATCATGTGTCCTGTATTATAATGAGAAGTTATTAATGTGCAGTAAATTAATCCGAATAAAACTAATTTGCATTAAATTCTCCTTGTGAATGCTATTGAAAGCTAATTTGCAGTAAACATATGTTTACTTCATATTAAACTCTTCCAGTGAACAAGGCATTAGTTTGTTTTTGTAATTTATATTGTTTAAAAACATCCATTTCAAGTGAAGTCGAGTAAATTATATTGATAATATTGTTATATACCGGTAAATATAATATAACAGA